GGACTCTGGACATAGGAATGCACTGGACTATGGACTTAGGAACGTACTGGACTTTGGACTTAGGACGCAATTGACTCGGGACTTAGGAACCAAATGGATTCGGGACTTAGTGACGCACTAGACTCAGGACTTAGGAATGCACTAGACTCGGGACTTAGGAACGCACTGGACATGGGACTTAGGAACGCAATGGACTTGGGACTTAGGAACGCAATGGACTCGGGACTTAGGAACGCTATGGACTCAAGACTTAGGAACGCGATGTACTCGGGACTTAGGCAGGCACTGGACTCGGGACATAGGAAAAGCACTGGACTTGGGACTTTGCAACATAGTGGACTAAACACTGAAGTATACTCACAGATAATACAAGCCCTCCCCAGCCCCTGCTACCTGATTGCCCGCTTTGTCTCCGTGCAGCCTTCTGATCCTGGTCACTGGAAGGACACCCTGCCTCCTGCAGAGCCCACACTAAGGCATGTACAGATCATCCAGGGCCAGGCAGGCACATGTACGTCTGAAGGGATTCCAGGGATGTCCTGTTTGATAAAACATCGGCGTCAGTGAAATACATTCTGCTCTGCTCCCGACGTCACCAATGTTTTATCAAACAGGACATACCTTTAGAAAGGCATGTTCCATGTACGTGTCTGGATGTTCTTCAGACCGGTGTTGAACACTGGTGCCCAGGAGCAAGTGCCCTATTCTCCCCCCCCTCGCTATGCCACTGCAAGGACACTCTGGGGGGGGAGGGGTTTGAACCCCCCTATCGCCCCCTTTATCTACGCCCTTGGGTGGGGGTCACTTCTACTATAAGAACAAGGTTTATATTTAAACGACTGCTGAATGAGTGTACATTGATATATTTCAGATGTGTTAACAATACTTTGCAAATGTTTTATTATTCATAGATACCAATGTCAGTTAAGTATTTTACGTATAAAGGAGTGAAATTTTCTCCTGGATCTTACAGCCAAGAAAGTCTTAATTTTGCAGAAAATGATTTCCAGGTGCAGGATGATGACGTCTATATTGTTACATATCCTAAATCAGGTATTGTATAGCAAGCTAATAAAAGATTACATATATATTTGCTTGATAAATGTCAATGAATGTAAATGTCAAAATTGTGAGCATTGCTTGTATTAAAATTTCTTTGGCTACCCTTACACATAAGTTAATGATCACTGCATCCAACTACAATTGTCAAAATCAGTCAACAGTTGAGACAACATTAGGGTGCTTAATGACAACAGAAACAAATAGCAGACCACTTTATTTCAGTGGGTAGCCATTTTTCATGTGCATGTTAGAATCTAAAATATTATTCAGCAGTTAGAACATTTCATAACCATTGCAGCCACTAGCTGATGTTTTTGTCTCATGTCCTCCTAAACTTCCAATAGCTATTCCACCTGTATCTAGAACACTGAATCCAAAAGACTCTCTGTCAGCTGTCTTGTGGCAACCTAATGTATCAACTCATGCTTGTTTATATACCAAAGTGGATGGACTGTGTAACTGCAAGTGTACGCACGCCAAGTTGTGTGCTATATATTTTTTTTTCTTACTAGTGGTAACACTTGTGATAACTCAGAAAAAACAGAGATGACCACCCCCCTTTATAACTTTATGGATGTTGTAACTACAAGTGTGCACATACGAAGGGGTCTATTCACAAAGCAGCCGAAGGATCTAGCCGTAGCTTCGGCTGATCCTTCGGCTAGCTTCGGCCCCAAGACCCCTTTGGTTCAGTAGAATCGAAGGGCTGCTGTACGACGCTCCGGGAGTCTGCCGCTTCCGGCCGCCAAGGAGAGAAACACTGCTTTTTCTTTTTAAAAAAAATTCTGACATGATTTTTGGCCATAGGAATGCCGTGCTAGATTCCTATTGGCTATTTCAATTTGCAATAGCCAATAGCAAACTAGCATTACACCCGCCCTCTGCTGCAGTTCTCCATCAGGTCCCCACTACTGATTGAGAGGGCGGATACAATAGCTAGTTTGCTATTGGCTATTGCACATTGAAATAGCCAATAGGAAACCAGCAATGCATTCCTATGGCCAATATTTTTTTTTTTTTCTATTCTGACACGGCTCAGCCAGTAGCCTGCTGGAGGTTCGGCTTAACCGATCCAGATGTTGGATTGGCTGAGTCGAACTCCTTCTGCACTTCGGGTCGGCCGAACATGCTGAGCATGTTTGGCCGACCCGAAGCCACCAGATGTACGGCTGATTTCAGCCGATATACGGCTGAAATCAGCCGTACCAGCCTGAAGTGAATAGCCGAACAGCGTTCAGCTCACTTCGCTTTAGGTTGGTCATTCACTCGGCTGCCTATGGCAGCTTGGTGAATAGACCCCTAAGTTGTGTACCTTTTATTTATTTATTTACCATGATAACACTAAGTTGTAAGTCAGAAACAAAAGAAATTACAGACCTTCTTCATAACTGGATAACTTGGTCCCATTCAAATCTGTGCAGGGGTTGCTATCAGAGTTGTCGGATAGAGGTGGTGGAAGGGGAGGTGTGCTATCTGACACCGGACAAAGAAGACAGCCATTCAGACTGACAGCAAAGATGAGGGGGGCATGACAGGCGGTGCCCACATAACCCCTGCCTCCTTCTCCTCCTCTGAAAGCTGCCATACAGAAAATCTTAAGCTATGTTTTGCAGCCCTGTGCCTTCTCTGATCTCCTCTACCTTAGTAACAAGAAATACTAAGCCAGGACCTGTGCCAGCTATTCAGGGGATAGAGAGTGGAGTAGCAACTTTTGGCTGTGTTGTGAATGTCTGTTGGTGGAGAGGAGTGCCCACAGTAACACAAGTCAGTTACTAAACTAGTCTCTTGGTCAAATGTAGTAGCTGACTTCAGTTGTTGTGGACTTGTTATTTTGTTAATAGGGCTGGTCCTCTTCAGCTGCTGACATTTACAACACACGCTGACAGTTACTACTCCAGCCTCTATCTCCTGAATAGCAGGTGGCAGGTCTGGGCTCAGTATTCTTAAGGTGGCCATACACTTTACAACCATCGCAAGACCTTAGTCTTGCGATGGTTGTAAAGTAATTAAAAAAACGTACGATCTGCCCATCTTGGACAGGCAGATCGTACCTCAGGTGGGCGGGCTTCCGATGACCACAATGCTGAACGGGCAGTGTGCGCGTGCGCACATCGGCCCGTTTGGCATTTGTCTCCCGAGCATGCCACAAACCAGACGAAAATCATAAGATTTTCGGCTGGTTTTCGAACATGCTCCTTAGACAAAAGACGTGCGACTGTACAGTAAAAACGGTTGTACGCCTGCCATATCCCCGATAATCGCACAGTGTATGGGCACCTTTAGTATATGTTACTTCAGAGAAGCTGGCAGAGGAGATCAGGGAAGGCAGATTTTGGAGGAGGAGGGGCCACGGGTTGTGCAGGCTCTCCTGTGTGCTCTGTTACACCCAGAGGAGTTGGCAGAGGAGACAGATGTCTGCAGAATGAAGAGGGGAAGGTGACATCAGTGATGACTGTAACTCCATCATAGGGACCAAGTGCCATGAACACTGGGTTCCCTGGGGACCATAGCACTATAACAAGAATAATTATCTATTAGTGAAACTTCTTCTTTAACAGCTATAATGTGCAAACAAGTAGCACTGGTGCTCAATGCCTGGTCTAATAAAATGCAATTGCAAATGTAGTATGTAGAATAAGTCCCACAACCCAAATCACAACAAATCACAAATGCTGTAGAATATGCTCCAAAAAGCAGTAGAAACCAGTCATTCCCCCACTTCCTATTTAGCTATTAAGCACAACACTGCCACTGATCTAACTAGATAGACCACCAGGCTATGAAAGCCTGGTGGTTGTAAAATGGCTGGTATTTAAAGGCCCTGGATGGTGCCATATACCAGATGATCACAGTTGTCCAATAGGTCACCTATCATAACAAACACAGTGAGGGGAATTTATTAAAACCAGAGCAGACAGTTAATGAAAGAGTTAATTGAAAATAAAAGAGAGACGCTGATTGGGTACCATGCACAGCTGCTCCAGATTTTGTCTGCTCCAGTTTTTATAAATTCCCCTCTTTGTCTAGAGTCCAGGTGATGATACATCTTTCTCCCCACGTAGGATTACATTTCCCTACCCCAACCTGGCTGCTGATTGGCTGCTGTGAAGATGCATTTTCCCCACAAATAGCACAGTTGTTTGGATTGAGTATTCCTGAATCGGATATTCAATATTCGGGGAAAATTTCATTTAAACGATTTTGCTAAAACATTGAAGGTCTATTTTGCTTTTTTGCTTATTAAAATACATTTTACTTTTTGTAAAATATATTGTTCTCAACTATTGCTATACCAAAAGCATAACTAAAAAAAAATCATTGTATGTGATTTATGATTACAGTAATACCTTGGTTTACGAGCATAATTGGTTCCGGAAGCATGCTTGTAATCCAAAGCGCTTGTATATCAAAGCGAATTTCCACATAGGAAATAATGGACATTCAGATGATTCATTCCACAACCCAAAAATATTCATATACAAATTATTACAATACTGTACTGTAATATAATACAAAATATAAAGAAAAATAAACCAATTACTGGTACCTTTGTGGCTGGTGTGAGGGGGACAAGAGAGGATGACTTTCACTATCACTAAAGGAATCACTGCTATCTCTTGGCTCAATGGAATCTTTTTCATTTCGTGAAACCTTAACAAGGAATCTATGCAATGAGACTTGCTGCTGCCTCCTTTTGAGGATTTTGCTACAGCCTTATTCAGGTGGTGCTTTTCTGCAAAATGTTGCTCTTATTGCAAGACATCGCTCGTATATCAAGGCAACATTTTTCAGAAATGTTTGCTTGTCTTGCAAAACACTCTCAAACCAAGTTACGTGTAAACCAAGGTATTACTGTATTTGATTATGAGAAATTTCTATACAAAAAAATATTTATATAATTTTACTAACCAGTGTGACTATTTTGTTTTGTTTTGCAGGCACAAACTGGATGATTGAAATCTTGAGCTTACTTAAGACAAATGGGGACCCTACTTGGTGTAATAGTGTTCCAATTTGGCTCCGGTCTCCTTGGTTTGAAACATTAGAGGGCCAGTCACAGATCAAAGATGTTACCCCTCCAAGAGTACTTACCTCTCATTTACCATTCCACATCTTTGCAAAGTCTTTTTTCACATCTAAAGCTAAGGTATGTAACTTAGTAGAGAGATAAACTATAGCCTTTCTAGTAGAATTTACTATTGGACTCTTAGCAACCATGTTTTATTTTGCCAAGTTCTTTTCACTGCAACCCCTCCTATGTAATCTATCAAAGGGTTTCTGGCCCTTTTTCTCCTATTCCTCCTTAAGGACACATATCAGCCATTTATTTTGTGCCTGCTAGTACACCATTTTTCTCCTCCTTAACGGTATATAGCAGCCATTTATTTGGACCTCCTAATGAGCCATCTTTCTCCTCTGTAAGGGCATGTACCCATTTCCTCCTCCTCAAGGACACAGAGCCACCACTTGCCTTTGTAGTACTGCTCCTGCAACTGCTTCTTTTCCCTCCTCCACCTAATTCCACCATATTCCTGGCTATTGACTATATGATATCAGCATAATTTTTCCATTTGCTATCCCCGGGGCTATTCTATAGACCTCTGTAGTACTATTGCAAAAGAAACAAAATCCCAAATCACCACTATGCCCAGTGTCTTCATGCCAGCTTTGTCTAACACAGTGTTTATGCTTTGTTTGTGGCTGGTGCTACACCACACTGTCAGGTACTAAGTGGCCATGATTTTGCCCAGAAGGCCATATGCCAGCCACCATTATTTTTCCCAGAATTTGAAGATCCTGGAGCAGCAGAAGGCAGAGGAGGAGGGTGCTGGCAGTGAGGCAGAGGAGGTTTGGGGTGCTTGTGCTGAGGAGGGGTGTTGGGGTACTGGTGAGGAAGAAGAAACTAGTAGAAAGCTTCAAGGGTGGACGTTTTGCCCCTCCCTAATACAAGGGGAAAAATCTGGAGGATAATCTGCGACATGCAAGAGTGGGCTCAAAATAACACCACTGTATGTCTTTGTCTCATTTCCTGATGGTGACTAGATCCCCCGCCCTGTAGGTACTTCAAACGGGGCTTTGGCAGCAGACACAGGCAAATGAGCCATTTGTTAGCAGAATGTCACCACATACTTGTGCGGTATAGTTCTGTGCACCAGAGAACTACATTTTATTAACCAGCATTGGTTCTGTAAAATTGAGGTAGTAGGTTTTTAAGGTTTGATTTTTTAAACAATATTTTGTATTTACTGATTTTATTTTTTAAATGTTTACTTTTTTTCCATTGTATGGCCATTTCTTCCCTGTTGAAGCAAATATGGGCAGGGATGGCAATCCAACCTTGGCACTTCCTTAAAGCCCTAGTATATGAGAGTTGGAATAGATCACTTCCCCCGGCCGCAGAATACATGCTTCCAGTGACAACGATCTATTCCAAGCTACATGTAATCCTATAATTTATAAATACATGCAGACTGCTTACAGATGCAGACGTTGTCATCCGATCATTAAACTTGAATGAGCACATTGGCCACATTGAAACAGGGACACCTGGCATACTTGCTGCAGGAATGCATATGCTCTTGCCACGGGGATGCTAGAATGCCCAGTGTGAGCAAAGCCTTACACTTTTTGTCTCTCAGGAAATCGTCCAAAAGCTTCTTGAATGATTCCACACTATTTGCTGAAATCACTGCTTGTGACAACGAGTTCCAGACCCTAACCGCTCGAACTGAGAAGAACCCCCTTCGCCCCTTGTGTTTGAATTTTTTTTCTACCAGTTTTAGGTGGTGGCCTCTAGTCTTTGTTACGGAATTAATCTTAAAGAGTTTGTTGCTAATGTTGCCCTGACTATAGAACATCTTGTACATGAATATCATGTCCCCCCTTAATCTCCTTACTTCCAGCGTGAACATATTTAAATTTAGTAGCCGTGTCTCATAGCACTGGTCCTCCATCCCTTTGATGAGTTTGGTTGCCCTCCGCTGGACTCCCTCCAGCTCAAGGACATGCCTTCTGTGCACCGGTGCCCAAAACTGCACCGCATATTCCAGGTGAGGCCGAACCAGTGATGTGTAAAGTGGCAAAATTATAGACCTGTCCCTGCAAAACATTCCCTTCTTGATGCAGGACAGGATTCTGCTAGCTTTGCTTACAGCAAGCTGGCACTGTAATCTATTATTCAGTTTATGGTCTACAATGACCCCCAAATCTTTCTCCATTTCCGACTTCCCTAAGGCCTAAGGCTTAGGCTTGCGTAAGGCCTAAGTGTGTTTAGGCAGCTACCAAAGGCAGTGGCGTCACAAGAGGGGTGCGGGTGGTGCAGCCCGCACCCGGGTGCCACCATTGGAGGGGTGACACCAAAATTACTCACAGTCATTTTGGTGTCACCCCCCTCTGAAAAGTCAGGCGCTCGGTCATGGACCGAACGCCCGACAGTATCAGGAGAGAGGAGGGGACCCGGCGGCATACCTTATCCCGCCGGGGAGACTGTCCCCTCCTCTCTCTGCCGGCGTCCATCACCAAGATGGCCACCGGCAGGCATCGGAATACTGCCGCACGTGCGCAATGACGTCATCGCGCACGCGCGTGGTGACGTCACGCGCATGCGCAGTGATGTCTCGGCGGGGTGACACTCAGTTACCGCTCCGGGTGTCACTCAGCCTCGGGACGCCCCTGCCAAAGGACTTACTGTTTTGAAAACTCTTTACAAATAGTTATATAGTTTTGTGTCTTTTTCTCTTAAGTCATACCGAATATTTTAATTGACCTATTGTCAGACCCAGTGGACACCATACGATGATTTATTGTAAATATGTTGTTAATTAGTAGAGGAGTTAGGAGTAGCTGGGCATGTGACATAACCTTTCAGCATCTATATAGGTTGAACTAGATGGACTTGTGTCTTTTTTCAATGACTAACTATGTAACTATGTAGCAGAGGTGTCAAGATGATTGAGTTGGAAGGGTTAACCAGGTTACAGTGACAGATAACTCAAATGCAGTGAAGTGTAAATGAGATTTATGTAACACAGTTAGCATCTTCTTGTTGTTCTAGGAATCCTTTTGTCTGAACCTTTTCCAAGGTGGTGAATTTCACACCTCTCCTAGCCAGGGTGGCACCAGGAATTGATCCTGTTAAGGACCCTCCAACAAACAAAAGAGGCACAAACCCAACCCCTTTGTATTAAAGGTTATATTTAAAGGATTAAATATAGATCCTGTAATTCACATCTGGCATATATACTTGAGGTACCCCCATTATTTCCAGTAGAATGACACCAGCAAAGGCTGGGGTATATGTAATTGTTTAAGAGATAGACAAAAGTAGGCTAATGCAATCATAAAGTATGTTGCAAATTGCTCATCTAGTCTCCTCTGACATCAGTGTGCAGCCCCGCTCTAACCAATCATGTCTCGTTACATCATCCACTCTCTTCCCTTCTTAAGTCGGGAAATTCAAACAACCGGCCTCTGTGTAATGTGTAAACACAGACGCCGGCTCCCTGACACTGCAGCAGCTCCTCTTATCGAATGAATCCTCTTGGATGAAGTGTGCCTCTCCTCTCAGCATATTGCCACTGTGACAATTCATCTCGCATTTGCTTCCTTTGTTACACGAACTTAACCCTATTTCATCTGCTGCTGTTATCTGCTGTGTGTAATGTTCATCATTTGTCACTGCTGCTGACACCTGTGTGCACTCAGCAATACTGCTGCTGTTCCCTGGGTGCATTTGTCTTGAATACAGCTTGACCCACAACCTCTGTGGATACTAACATTCCCTCAACAAGGCTCCATGTCTCCACTTAGGATTCTACGAACCTCAAGTACCACCAAACGTATTATACATCTATATGAAGTATTACAGGATGTAGACTTTCTGAGATCCTTTATCCATTCCCTCTCTGTGAGCCTAAACCAGGAGACTAATATACTTATCTGTATGCAGTAATACGGGTCATAGATCTTCCTAATCTGCTCCATGACAATGACTTTTGTGTGAATGACTACCTGTATGGAGTAATACAGGACTGCTTGATTACCCCAATGGTGTTATACCCTTAGAGTCTGTTGCATTATATATGTAAGCAGCATTACAAATTATCTTTGTGACTGAACATTGCGCAGGGACATTCCATCTGAATCTCTGAGTGAATGCATGACCGAAGCACATTCCAGTGCGGTCCACATTTGAGATCCATCACATAAAGGCATAATTATTACAAATGGTAACTAGGTGTGCTTAATTGGGGCCAAAATCTCATTTAGTAAGTAAGTTGCAATTTTATTTGCCGGATGCCCCCGGGATATAATCAAGTGCTTCTGTAAGTAGGATTTCTATCTTTTTTTTTCTCCTTTTTATTTTTGATCTGTTTGTAAGGTGTAAATGCCTTATGTAATGTCTACTTTTAAATATGTGCATTATGAATACTTTTTCCTTCATAATAAATCATTCATTTATTAAGTTCCTGCCTTTGTCTGGTATACATGTTCAGCTAAGCTGGTCTTATGTGTTCAGCTAAATTTAAGTTTTGGGTGTCTTTATAAGTTACCTGGGGGATTATCGACTAAATTTGGAATTGAATGTTTAACCAGGTTTGGTTTGGTGGCAGCATTCTTTAGATTAGAAGTGGGTGGTGTGTAAGTGGGATCTTTCATTATTATTTCCTGGTTTAGTTAAGACAGATAGTGATTTTTTTAACCCTCTTACCACTAAAATAAGTCACGTTACCACATGGAGTAGTGTGCATTTGTGACACCCATTAGTAATGACATAAGAGTTTCTAAATAAAAAAAGTTAGGATACCACAGATGATGCAGCAGTGTTCAATTGGCCAGTAGTAGGACAGTTTTATCCAGGATTAACAGGCCTAACCAGTGTCTGCCTAACTTTTATGTTATCTATGTGGATTGGGGGGGGGGGGGGGGAAAATAAGGGCAACAGGAATAG